AGCATATGGAATGGGTTTGTTGCAAAAGCAAAATAAACTAGAGAAAGTCTGTTTAAATTAATTAATTTTTTTTTCACAATCTCTAGACATAATAATAATAATATGTGGACATGCTCTCGGATTTGTACAGAGGACGTTAAAAAAACATAACAAGTTTATATAAAAAAATTCTATGGAAAAAAACCACCAATGCATGCATTAAAATCCGTATTCAATAAAAATATTTTTCCCTCCACAACCCTTCTGTTTATCGATATGAATCAAGAGTGTCTTTTTTAGTCTAAGGTTAAAGCTGCCTAAATACATTATTTTCGTGTCTTCATTCTGCAGGGTAAAAAAAAGTATCTATTATTGGCCTCCACCTAGGCTATCCCTGGCAACCCGAAATGTTAAAAATGTTTTCATGGCTCCTTTTTAAGACCTATGATGTATTTTACATTGTTTAAAAAATAATTAAATTGCATGAAGTATTCTAAAAGTTATTTAAAAAAAATCGATTCTCAGGTGGCTGCTTTAGAGGCCTGTTTCTCCATAAGGGAATTTTTTTATAGAATTTGTTATGTTTCTATAAACCCTGTATATATAAATGAGTTTTTTAAACTTGCCTTTAATTAGTCGACATATTCATTTAAATTAATGACAAAATCCGTATTTTATTTGCAATATATTATGCATATTTAATTGCGTGCCAAATGAGGAAAGATAGTTGTTGGTGCAATTGCTTCCTCAAGCCTTTGACTTTTTGAAAAAACATATTTCAACAATTTGTTTTGTGTATGATTAATGAAAGTACATGGTAATTTAAATTTGGCGTTATTCCTTTTGATGGGTTATGGGGGCTCACTTGGAGAGTACGAAAAAGTATTGAAAAAAATATATTTTAGAAAATTTCTGGAAGATAAATAAATAAATAAAAAAAGACACTTAAAAATTGAGTTTCAATGAGAAGCAGCTTAAAATGGGAAATCAGTAATGCTGCGAAAAGTGCGCAACAACGTGATTACACGGGCACAAACATGTGCAGTTTGGTTGCTTTTAATATTAAGTTATGCTCTCAGTGCGATAAAAAAATTGTCAACTAAATGACTTTTATAATTTTTTTTGACAAATACAAGTTGCAATGGAACCAACGGCTTTTTTGGTTCCTCATTTATTTAACTTAAAAAAGAGAAAATACTTAATAAAATCTAACGTTGTAGGGATTTTTATTTAGTAACCTGAAAGTCTGTAGTTAATTTAAAGTTTTGTTACTTTGAAGCCAAGTGTTATTACCGCTGGGCATTCAGGGCGACCCTAATCACCTTCTGAAAATTAATTAACCGTCAACGAAGTACAATATCTCGAAGTTAATGATCATCGTTAAATACATTGTCCCTAGCTGCTAAAATTCATTACAAAAGTTGCATTGGTTAAATACAAAATAAGCCTTGTTGAGGTGAAACAGCTAATCAAGGATGTAAAAAGCTGTTGTTCCAAAGCTGAATTATATACGGGATGAGTTTATAGTAGCATGACTTTAACGGTCGATGGAAAAACCAATTTTAAAATGAAATAGATGGACATATATTGAAGACGGTTTCGTCAATTTTTTTCTGATCTTAAAAAAGGTTTTTCTAGGTATGTATGATTTTATATATGCTTAGAACCTGGAATCTAATGTAGACACGTAAAAAATGTTTTTGTTTTTCTGCAAATTAAGCCCCATATATTAATTAAAAGGCGCGCATAAACATACAAACCATTTATCTTAAATCCCAAATTTATCAGTAAATCATAATCTGTCCAAAAAAATATGAAAAGACTAAAATTAAGTGAAGAAAAGTTATGTTTTCGAAAGCATTTAGTTGGCTCGCTGGCACTGATTGTTCCTTTATTCATTTTTATGTTTTCCCATTTTTTAATGCTCAAGTTTCTATATGAGATAAACAACCTCCAGGACCGAGATTTATTGATTAGCAATCAGATGCATTCAATGAAAATATAACGAATGAAAAGCAATAAGCGGTTTGTATAGGTTGCCCCTGAAATGAGGGGAGAACAGCTTGGAGAAGGGAAAGCAAAGGTTTTTGACCTTATTATTGTGGCAAAAAGGAAAAACGGCATTGCCTGCGAATTTTCACAGGCATCCTGACGCGGGTCGGTGGAAAAATCGGCAAAATTAGCAAAATGTTTTAGGTTGTAGCTAACGAAATAACATTGATCCAACCTGGCCAACATTTTTCCTCAATAAATTGTTTTGCTAAATTGAAAGCGCCGATCCTCTTGTGAATGCTGAGGTAAAAGAATATCAGATTTTCCGACGCGTTATCGGAAAATGCTCATTATCAAAACCGGGCTATTTTTACATTTGTTACGGTGTGCCCACGCTTTTGGCACTACGATTTGCTTGATAGTTAATTCAGCTAATTTTTTTATCATGCATCAGCGAAATTAGCTGATTGAGGATGAAATTTATGATCAGAATCAATTTTTGTCAATAAATCAGCGCAATTTTGCACATCTGTTTATAGAATCATGCCAAATATACTGCATTCTTCATTCATTTTACCCTTTATATTTTATATGCTTTGAGAAAATTATCTTGTAAAAAAAATTGGTTGTCCTACGGCACTACAAATTTTAGTCTTTAGCCTATTCGAACAAAATACTGCAGCTGATATTACCTCAACTCCAGATCGTACAGGAGGAAATCTACTGATTTATAAATTCCAATATCACCCAGAACCTAACACATTTCATTGTTTCGACCGTCAAAAACTAGCCGTTAAAATACCTGCGATTGGTTTCTTTAATAGTTTCAACCTCATTTCGTGTCCAACTAGGCAAAGGTATGTGTTTCGTTTATCTACAGGGTGATAACTGCGATCGGTCCTTGGCATTTCACGAGGATTATGATCGTTGGCCGTAAATGGCAAATAGGTATAATGGAAAAAAGTGGTTGCTGCTAAACACCATGGGATCAGCTCAACCTTGTTCTGAAATCTAAACGAATTGGTTTGGTTGGATTCGCAATAGCATGTAAGGAAGCGCTTGAATAATGTATTGCTCTTCGAAATTCCTTGTTCGGGTAGTTGGACACTTTTTTGTAAAACTACGAATGGACAGTGTGATGAGTTTGTGAGCTTCTGAGGTTTGAGATGAGATCTGCCCTGAAAGGTGTTATTTAAGTCTGCACTACACGCATTCTTTGGATTTTTTTATGTGGAGACGTCCAAGGCAAAGAGTGGTTCATACAGATTTTTTTGACATAAAAACAACACAACAAATGTTTTAAGATAATGCATTAAAGGAAAACTAATATGCAATACGTCTCGCTGTTAGACAGACAGAAATTAATGTCATTGTGCATTTTAAGAATAAAAGCTGAGCTTATACCTAGAATACAATTATCAATTTTTTTTCACTTCTATACAATTTGTAAGAGGTTTTTGGAAAGCCATAAGTTTGCAAGAGGAAAGTGACTCATAATTCAAAAAGTACATTCAAATGGACATCACATCAGTCTACAGAGAAACGAAATAGATTCGATAAGAAAAATCAGTACTTCTATTATTGCCATGTTTATTGAAGACCTTGTATATTTGTGAACAATTTTAAAGTATATGCCTGACGAACGTACAGTACACATAAGTTTATTTTTTGACGGTCAATCGATCTAATTGTATAGTTGAGTGTACTTTTCAATTTGGATCAACTGTAATTCATGCGAATTTTTTATTTTGTCCAAAAAGCTACTTTAATCTCGTATCAAATTCACATTTTTCTCTATTCATAATTGTTGTCATGAAATGTATTCTCGAAAGCTGCAGGCATCAGAACTTTTGACTACGGGACTTTCTTATCAAGAAAACAGTAACTTTTCCAACTGCCCACCAAAGTTCAAAAAATCAGTAGTAGTTTGTATGTTGGAACACCAAAAAAGTTCTGATGTTTTCAATCGCTCCAGACCTGAATGAATGAGAAAGAAGTGAACTACAAGCTAAATAATAGGAAATTTGAAATTTTCTATCTAGAAAATCCCCAAACAGAATTTTTTTTGGTAATAGTAAATCTGGTTAAGAAGTTAAAAAAATGGTTTCCACTTTTACACACTGTACCTCAGAAACCTTCAACTTTCGGATAAGAAAATTTGCCTAAACCAGCAATGTTTTTGCGCAAACAATATGTCAGTGCATTTCGTTCAAAAGTTGTGGGCGGAAAATTAGACTCTGAGCCTACAAGTTGCTTATACTTCTGAGATTATCTACAATTATTCAGAAAGAAACACTCGATGCTTTAATAAAACTATGAATGGTTTTCCGGGAAAAAATGTGCAGAAACATTGCGCTTCTCATCGGGTCGCCTAAAATCTGCGCGCTCTTATTCAGCGTTCGACTTTCCCCCACCACCGTTCCACAGACACCGAATAGTATAAATACAGCAGTAGCACTAGTTGAAGAACCAGTGATAGGAGAGGGATCCAGAAGGCGACTTTGAGCTTCGATAACGTTCACCCTATCCGTGAAGTCTGGAAGAAATTCCAATGGTCCATCGCTTATAAGCTCGCAAAACTTTTCATGCGATACTGTAATTTTCACAAAAGGAACTGTATAGAAGTAAAAACTAGTAGTTCTAAAACCTCAGTTCTTTTTTTCGCTTTTAGAACTGCATTCGGTTAATGTAGAAGCAGAAAACGAGAACTCGCTATACTGAAATAACCGACAACAAAACACTTTGTGTGTGAAAAGATTTAATAAAATAATAGATGACGTCTGTGGGTATTCAAATATGTAGATCTAGTGGCGTTGAGTTGACTTTGAGCTAATAGGCATCTGCCGCCCCGTATTTTGGTTGCAAAAGCTTCAATTGGCCGGTTTTTCTTTTCCCTAACGCATTGAGTTTGGAACCATTTCGTGACTAATTGATCACTAGCCACTAATTGACCTGTTAATATCACCTGAAGATTTTAATAATTAATTAATTTTGATGATTTTCAGTTTTTTATTGTTTTGTTCTTTCAGATTCCAAATGCAAAGTGCCGGTGTTTATTATAGAGTGCCAATCGAATTGGCCGTTTAAGCAAATGTGACTGTTTAGTAGTGATGGTGTGTTAAAAGGTGGTTTCCGGGCTCAGGAGTGATCGGCAGGTATGTAAAATTCACCAACTTTTCCTTATCGAAGTTCTTAACGGTTTCCCCTCTAGTACAACGAGATCAATTCGAATCGAATGCTTCTCGATGTTTGGGAGGAGACTTAATTTGTCAGATTTCCGAATCGTAAAGATTAGGTGGCAAGATTGATCATTGTACTTTTACGTTACATTCAAGTTATCTATAATTGATTGAAGTTTCTCCCACTCGTCTAATTTAAAGTTCTTACGCGTTATCGTTGCATGTATAGCCCAGTTCTCGTTCACGATGATGGATTTATTGTTTGATTGAATCCGCAGTAGCAGCAGATGTTTATGAAACGTCGATAAATATTTTGAGCTGTTGTTTTTGGAATACATATTATTGGCACGATACTGTCAATGTTTTGCATTTTGCGAAATATTTTAGATGAATCACTATTGATGTTTGTCAAATACATTTTTGGGACGTTTTATTCAGATATCGATACAAATCTTTGCTTTGATTGGCTTTCGAAAAAAGCAAATGAGATGTGTTTATAGAAAGCAAGTTTATTCATATCAGTTTGGAGTTATTCAAATTTCTCTCATGACCAGTGGGGTTAAACTCTAATCAAATGAGTCTTTAAAGAGCGCAATTTCAGTTCAAAGTGTGCAGCATTTAATAATAAATTACAGTCTGACAAGCTGATTGTTTTATAATCTAGTAGCTGTGCTCTGACGTCTTTGCGTTTTCCGAAGCAATGAAAAAAAACGATTATTTGCCAAGTGAATCTGTTGATTTTCTGTCAGTGGTACAGATTCCATATTTCGGGAAACGTGAAGGAAAATCTGTAACAACTCCATTGTTGTCGAAACTTCGTTTTTGGCCTCACGCGCTTTTCAGCATCGTCGATGGAAGCTTAAAGCCGCCGTTTTAACATTTCCGGAAACTGTTGAGGATAAACATTAAGTAAGCGGATTTCGATGTAACTGATCTGACTGTGGGAAATTCGTTGTTTCAGTTCCTGGGTGGTTAAGGATCCGCAATCGGAAAATGCGGACGTAAAGCCGGAACGATTGGTGTGCGTCCGGCGTGCCCAAAGCGGCGCACTCCGGGTGGCATCGTCGTAGGCGCCCGCAGTGGCGTGCTGCGGGGATGGCGCTAGCGGCCGGCAGGTGACGGGCGGCGTAGCGGCGGGGCGCAGGCGACTCAGTGGCGGACCCGCTGCTCGTCGCCGTTGCGGGCTATGCTGGGCGCTGGTGACAAGCGCCCTGCGACGCGCCGTCTGCGGCGCAGGAAGCAGACGATCCTCCGACGACTCCTACCAGGAGCTGCAGCCTGCGCATCATCCCGAGGAGGAGCAGGTGCCAACCGTAAGTCGCTGTACAGGGTGGGCCACTAAGAGAGGTGGTCGGCCGTATCTCACAAACTATTAGTCGCATCGATTTCAAGTAAAGAAATATGTAAGTAACGTGGCTCAGGGAAATGGCTGGAAATTACTTTCAAGTTTGCAAAATGGCCGCTAGAGGGCGACATTGCAATAGCAAAGTTTAAATACGTATTTTTAGCGGCTTCAGATAGGCTAAGGTAGGTTGGAAGTACCTTCATTCTCATTTAGGAATGTTTTCCGGGCTTTGAAGCCGTGGTCTATGGGAATTTCTTCCTGACGTTTCGTCCACAACTGCGGTGGACATTATCAAAGGCGATGAGGCAGTGGGCGAAGTGATCTCCCGTGCTTTCCGACTAAGACTGGTTCAACTGCTTTTTTTTTGTTTGCCCGGCGGCTGCTGGAGGATAAAAAATCTTCTCGAAGACACCCAGTGTCCCGTGACACCAGGTAGTGTTGGATTTCTACCAACTAAAAAACCCCCGTTTTTGACTGCAAGTTTCCAGGAGTTATCCTTGAAAACGTGTGGTCTTCTGTAAGAATGGTTCAGCTCTGGCATCCGTATGCCTTCACCTCTCATTCTCTCCATCCTTACTAATTTGACACAAGCACTACACTACTCAATGTTACTTCTATCACTCTATCCTAAAAGTTATACACTTACAGCACTCTACAGTTTACTGCTTGTAC